TATTCTGATATGAGGTGATGTCCTTGGAGGTGGGACTTCACCCAATGTGCGCATTTACGTGGCTGTTCCGGCAAAGCTCTCCCTTGCTCTGGACCTGCGTCTGCCTTCTGCATCTGAGCTCTGCTCTAGGAACCTAAACTAGCCTTTGTCTGAGCTGCTCATTCTGAGATTCCCCAGCCTCTGCAGCCCTGTGAGTCTATAGCCTATCTGACCTGCTGATTTGGGGACTTGTCAGCTTCTGCATTTCCAAAAGCCAACAGCCTGTCATCTCAACTCCTCATTGTGGGTTGACCAGCTCCTTCAACCATGAGTCAGGAGATTGATGCTTGACCCATGGATTTGGAACTTGCCACCCTCCACAACCGTCTGAGCCGTTTCTTTGAAATCTCTCTCAATGTACACACATACTTCACTGATTTGACTTTGTTAGAGAACCCATCCTAAGACCAATTTCAACATGTATTTTTTTGGGGGGGTGGGGAGAGGGACACAATTCAATCTATAACAAAGAGGAACTTCAAATTGTATCAATTTCAGGCCCATTAAACCTGGACTGTCTCTAATACTAGTATTTGACTAGAAAGATCTTGCTAGATAGCTATAGTTGTTGGGGTTTGAAACACTCAGTTGTCATGGGCAAAGTGGAGGGTTTGCATGTGCTGCTTGTGCAATGACTGCGGAGAGTGTTAGCATCCCCTGGAATCCTCTCTTTGGGTCAAGTGAGCTGGCAGAATAGCTCTGCCATCAGTAGCCTGAGGCAAGAGCTTTTACCTTAATAAACAATGCTGTGAAATACAAACCAACATCTTGTCTTTTTACAATATTGCTTTCTGTGCTAAGAGTTAGGAAATGCATATTTGCAACACTGAGAAATGTTGTTTCAAATTTCACAAATCTGGGTGAACCCTGAAACCATTTCATAGAAAAGCTGTGGGAAGTGTAGGCAATGATTGTTGATGAGAAGTATAAATGAATAGCTGAGAGTCTGAGAAGTAAGAAGAGAGTTTTTGCTCCTATTGAATAGGCAATGGATATTCCAAGAAAGAGGTTTCCCATTTCACAAGCTTCATGGCCCTTAGAATACGGTGTTTCACCTTCCCAATATGATCGCCGAAGACAAAGCGGGTGCATAAGCAAATGTGGTCAAGAAAGCTGATGGTGCCTGGTTATCAAAAGATATAGCATCTAGGGTCTTAAAGACTCGAAGGTAAACAAGCGGCCATCTAGCTCAGAAGCAACAAAGCCCACATGGAAGAAGCACACCAGCCTGTGTGATCATGAGTTTCCAAAGGCATGAGTTATCAGGCATCAAAGAACAAAAAATCATATCATTGTGTGCTCACCTCCCTGATATGATCACTGAAGACAAATAAGCAAATGTGGCGAAGAAAGCTGATGGTGCCCGGCTATCAAATGATATAGTATTTGGGGTATTAAAGGCTTGAAGGTAAACAAGTGGCCATCTAGCTCAGAAGCAACAAAGCCCACATGAAAGAAGCACACTAGCCTGTGTTATTACAAGGTGTCAAAGGGATGAGGTGTCAGACATCAAAGAACAAAAAAATCATATCATTGTGAATGAGGGGGAGTGCAGAGTGGTGACCCAAAGCCTATATGTAGGCAACTGGACATCCCCTTAAAGAAGGATCACCAGGAGATGAGCCAGTCGGGGTGCAGTGTAGCAACGATGAAAGAAAACTTTCCTCTAGTTCCTAAATGCTTCCCCCCACCCCACCCCCACATTATCATGATCCCAATTCTACCTTACAAATCTGTCTAGACCAGAGGATGTACACTGATACAGATAGGAACTGGAAACACAGGGAATCCAAGATGGATGATCCCTTCAGGACCAGTGGTGAGAGTGGTGATACTGGGAAGGTGGAAGGAGGGTGGGGTAGAGAGGGGGAACTGATTACAGAGATCTACATATAACCTCCTTCTTGGGGGACAGACAACAGAAAAGTGGGTGAAGGGAGATGTCAGACAGTGTAAGATATAACAAAATAATAATTTATAAATTATCAAGGATTCATGAGGGAGTGGGGAGGGAGTGGGAGAAAATGAGGAGCTGATGCCAGGGGCTTACGTGGAGAGCAAATGTTTTGAGAATGATGAGCGTAATGAATGTACAAATGTGATTTATACAATTGATATATGTATGGATTGTGATGAGTTGTATGAGCCCCCAATAAAATGATTTTAAAAAAAGAATACACTGTTCCAGTTAGGAAGACTCTTTGAAAGTGGTTTCAGATGGTCACCAAGGAAACTTAATATTTATATAGCCCCTACCACATGCGTATAATTATGCCAGCTATTGCAAATATTTAGAGAATCTAGATGCTGGCCTATACAGCTAGTTAGAAAGATAGGAGATATACCTAAGACTATACATTAGATTTATCCCTGTGATAATATATTTTTTTATTCTAGGTCATAATGGTCAAATATTGGCCATTTCAGGTGATTGAATACCAGTCATTTCATATAGATCAACATAAATAGCTTTAAAATGATTTTGTTCTTTTCTTTTCTTTTTTTGTGGCGGACTTTTGTCCAACCATTTCAGTGGATAATCGGTCAGCAGCATCACCCAGTGATTGTGGTAACTGAGCAAGCACACTCCTCCATACATTTCCAAGTATAGTGGGCAGGAGTTTGGGGATTGGAGGTAATGCATGATACCTAATTTAAAGAACTTTGATATTGGTTACGGAAATCAAACCAGACTTGGGGCTGAAAGAGAAAAATATCCTCAGAGAAAGGTGGAATTTGAGCTGGAAACTGAAAGGGAGGGTGGACTTAATGAAGGGTTCCGAAGGTTCATTCTTTCTCTACACTTGCAAAAATAAACAAGCTTAAAATGGAATGACTGGATTGTGAGTCTGGAGAACAAAGAAAGAACAGACAAGTGTAGTCTAATTGTGATAAAGGCAATTGGGAGTAGGAGGGAGAAGGCAGGGCATGAGGTTACCAAAGCAGATGAAAGGTCAGCCCTGGAAGGTCCAGCGCCAGCTTGCATCTTATTCTGCAGGTAATGAGCATTCTGGAAAGACTCGGTGAAGAGTGTGTCATGAATGAATGCCCTGCAGCCCCCTCCTGCCCCCTCTGTTCCCTTTGGCCTCCACTCTTCCTGCAATTGACTTTCAACAATTGGAAATCTACACATGGACTTGATGACCAAGGGGCTTTGGGGTGTTTCTTCAGTTCTTCAAAGAGATAAAAACCTAGCACTCAGTTCTTTAAAAAAACCCAAAAAACTAGCAATGCTATCATTGAGAAAAATGTATTTGCATATGAACACATTGCATTTGTGTTTCCGTGCAGTGCTTGTGTGTGTGTTCTACAGAGATTAAATTGAATGGAATCCAGGAACCGTGAAAGGATTAGTTGCGATATGTATCGATTGCCATCTTGTCTATAGGACCACAGCAGTCACCTGTAGTAGTCTACATAGACCAAGGCTCCATCTGGCTAGGCACAATCGCTCCACATAACGTTTCCTGCTTCTGCGGCATTGCATTTCAAGGTGAGAAGCACTCGGTCTAACTAAGATGAGACTGTTGCGCCAGTGTAACATCCTGGATCTGTGAGAAGGCAATGGATGAGAGTAAAAAGGGATACATTACATCAATCAATTCTGTCAACGGTAAAAAGAAACCATGCAGGTGTTGATACGTGCTGTTAAAGATATATAAAGTTTAAGCAGGAGAGGGATGAGGTGATATTTGTCTTTTAAGAAGGTGGGTGTGTAATCGCTACGTCATCTAGCTTCGGTTAGGGGTTATTCACCTCATCTTTTCTCCTCAAGGGTCTTAAACAGCTAGATCCATCTTAATTTAAAACAAAACAAAACAACAACAACAAAAAACCCTCCTCAAAACCCCCTCTAGCAGTGAGCAAAGCACACCTAGAGTCTGCAGTGTACACGTTAACCCTTCATTATAAGCCCCTTGCTTTTTTTCTTATTGTTTCACTCGTCAAACAATAGATTTTAAGCTCTTTGAAGGCAGGAACTGGCCTCACAGTGCATCCAGCACACAGGCTGCATGCACCAAGCAAACAGTGATTAACTGAAAATCAAACTAAGATCAAAAACCCTGGAACAATTGCCTTATAGGGTTTCTAAGACTGTAAATCTTTATTTGGGGGGGGGGCGGGTAGGGGGCGCGGGGAGGCTGTCACATCTTTCTCCCAGGAGCGACTGGTAGGTTCCAACCACCACCACCCGGCCCCTGTACCCACTGGAGCACCAGGGCACCTCCAACATCCGGCAAGGGACTTGACATTTCCAGCTGCAGCTTCGCGGTGGAGACGCTTTCCGCAGCCTGCAGCGGGGCTGCGCACCGGGGGCCCTGCCTGAGCTTCTCCCACCCCTTGGCGGCCCTTCCTCATTGCGGTTCCCCAGAGCGGCCGGGAGGAGGCGCCACGGACTCGGGTTACACTCTTCTTCCTCCGCTACCCCTCTTCCCCGGCACGCGACGGGGGAAGCTGCCTCCGCCAGAGCCTTAGCAATAGGAGTGAGGGGGTGAAAAGGTTTGGGGGTGGGGTGGGG